TGTAATTGGAGTCTAATAGTCTGATTGATCAGTGAGAGAAGTGAAGGATGAGATGGCGCTGTGGCAGCTCCATCAGTCAGACAGAGAAAAGAGGAGCAGGGAGAGGAGCGTGGCATGGAAGGCGGTTCACGGGGAAATGCAGTGTCCACGGTGTTTTATGTTTTTTTTCTTTTTACTCCTTTGTCTTTTCTGTGTCTTTTCTTCACTTTGAGGTCTGTGTAGTCGACCTCCTCTACGTCTGCATTACTTTTGAACCTGGCCAATTACTAAGTTTTCAGCTCACACCCTGCTTCTTTCATTTCCTCACAGTTTAGAGCCTTCAGTTTCCCTAATGCTTAAGGTTATTCTAAAAAGGTCAGATACAATAATGTGAACTCACCGGAGGGCCGACAACGTATCCTGTAATTGTTACACAAAATCTACAGTATTGTATCACATTTATTTAGTGCAATACTGTTTAAAATGAGCTTGAATGAATAATGAAATAAAAATATTTACCAGTTTTTAAAATGAAAAAAAAAGAACAAAATCCCTTAAATTTAGTTACCATATACAAGATATGAAAATAAAATAGCAAGTGTAAAAAAAGTAAATTACGAATTATTTGTAAAATTAAAAAATAATTAAAACAGATTATTTAAAATACAAAGTTACTAATATAATCCAATTAAATTTGTAACTTAAATTAGTAGTAACACAATACAGTACTATTCCTTGAAACACATAGAATTGCGCTCATGTTAAAAAGGTTTCATTTTTATATATTCTTTATGTCATTAACATTAATGAATAATGAGTAACCAAAGTGGACTTGTTGTAAAACAGACATTTTAGTTCCATAATTTAACTGTGTATTAGAATAAAGAGGTTAAACCTTTGTGGGAGTTTAATAAACAGTGACACAGTCAATAAAACCACTGCACAGAGGGACGTATTAACTGTCCACCACGGTACAAAGTGATTGTGCTAACAGGTCAACAACAGTAATAACTATAACTCCAGTGCCTCATGTCAGCCTGAGCGCCTCAGGTCCCAGACCTGCCATGGCTGTCTCATCAGCTGTGAAATCTGCTTTCCTCTTTGATAAATGCTCCAGATGTGACCCTATCTCTGTCCTGCAGATGCCCAGATTTCCTCTCACCCTCCCCACCCCCACCATAGCCACACGCACTCACACAAACCCACATATTCTCTCTCTCTCTCTAGTCTTTTCATTCTTCCTTTTTTTTTCCAGCCTTGTATAGAACCGGTCTTTCCAGAGCTGCCTGGACAAATGCACACTACAACGCTCCACTCACCGCTCTCTTTCAGCATCATCCATCACTCTGCTAGGCTGCTGAGGCTTGTCGTCCAGCAGCAGCCGGACCCACATGGGCTCCCGCGACACAGCATATGCAGCTAGGCCATGTAGCTCACTGTTTGCTGCCTCTTGGGACTGGTAACCACCCTCTCCCCCTCCTTCCCTCCCTCCCCTCACCTCATCTCACCTCCTCCCATCCTCGGCTCCACAGAACAACTCCCCTGACACCAAATGCCAGACCTAACATACTTTCCTCCTAAATGTCTTTGAATGAACCCAATTCCTGCTCTGTTCAGTTTTAACACACAACCTCCTATAAAAATTAAATATTTTTCTACAGGAACACTTTCAATTCACATCAAATAATGAGTAAAACTATTCTCTTACAATTCTGCCTTACTTTGCCTCGTGAATATTAACCCAACATAATATTGACTGTACAATCTATCTATCTATCTATCTATCTATCATCCATCTATCCATCCATCCATCCATCCATCCATCCATCCATCCATCCATCCAGCCATACATACTGTAGGAGAGTACCTCAAAGTAAAAATATCAGTAATTCACAGAAACTTGCTGAAACAGTATGGTGTACAAATTCATTCAGTAGTCTGTGGAGGTCACTAGTAGAGCGAGGTACAGACCCACAGAGCAATGAGCTCTCAATTTGATTTCAGACCCCTTTTTACCCTCTTGGCTACACCTGACACACCTCAAAGTTGTTTTTTTCCCCATTCTCCTCTCTACATCCTCTGTCAGAATTGTTATTTTAACTTTTCCCTCTTTGGGTTTCTTTTTCTCCAGATATGGTGCTGTTTTAACTTTTTCACAACTCTGTCAAGTTCTGCTGAAATAAACGCAGTGCTGCCAACAGCTGCATGTTCTAACAAGGCGTCACCTCGATGTACAGGGCCTTGATTACCCCCCCTCAGAAAAGGAAAAAAACAAACTCTACTGTAAATTAGATGATTCCCTTCTGATCCACAAATAAAGTTTTTTTTTTTTGGCACATCCAGCGTCCAACAAACAACTTCTGTAACATTTTTCACTGAACCTAAAAAAAGAAGAGGCTCAGTAAAAACACATGCCAGTTGGTTTGACCCGGGCCTTAATGAGAGATAGTGAGAAGCTTCTAACAGCCAGTATTCCATTTGAGAGATGAAACTTGGGAAAGAGGCAGAGGAGGAGGAGGAGGGCAGGCAGCAAAGCATTGAAAGGTTCCCCAGGAGAACAGACACACATGAGATCCTTAACGGCAATGTGCCAGAGCTTCTTCCTCTGCTTTTAATTGCGAGGGAGGTTTGGCACTTTGTGTAACCCCTCCACAGCCTATTACAGGTGATGACCAGCACCTGCTCACTTGAAGGAACCTGAGGAAAGTAGCAATGAATTCCTCAGAGGGCACTTAGTTAGAAACTTAACACTTTGCTGAGTGCAGCAACCGGTTTAGGTGTTAGGTGTTAGGCCCAGAGGATAATGTGATCCTTTTGAAAAGTTTTGTAGCTTTTGAAAATGCCAAACAAAATAAAATTACAATACATTTAATCACTAAAGAAATTACAGATACATTTGCAAAAAAAAAAAAAAAAATCAATGAAAACTATATTCTAATATCAGGTAATTCACTTGATCGCAACACGTGGCTTCCAGCCCCAATTTTAAAAAGGCTAACTACTGTAGATGAAGTTTGGATGTCAGGTTATGTATAAAAGGAACATCCAGAACGTTTTTGTTTTAAGCAGGCATGTCCATGGATTTATTTAAGCCAAGAAAAAACACCTTTTGTTCTGCACAAATTACAAAAATATGACTTTCTAGGCATTAAGTTGACCTGCTGTCTGGCCTGTCTGCAGTCCAGATTAAACCTCTGTTGAATTTGTCTGGCACTTGAAAAAAATGGTTTTATACAAAATAATGAAATCCAGTCTTTTCTACGTGATAAACTGACAAAATATTTAGTAAAAGACATTGTAAATAGACTAAAAAATAGTAAAACTAAATATTATCTACAGCTGCCAACTGACTCAAATTTAAGACTAGGAGAAAGAATGTGTAACATATGATTCAATACCTTTAGCCCTCTGGTGTGATAGACAGATATTAACTTCTAGTTAAGTCTGTAAGTTAAAAATCTTTTTTTTTTCCAGAAATAGTGTTGTGTTATTTCTTGGGGTCATTTGTGGGACATCTGAAGGAAACTCTGGGATGATTTCTAGCCAAATTCCTGCAGACAAAGCTGTAGATACATGTGAAGTATTTTTTTAGAATGCAACTTGAGGTGTGGCTCTGTAAGAAATCACTGTAACGCCCAAGAATAAGTGGCTTCACAGTGACAGAAGCCATATTTCACGGCTATAATACAGCCGGAGTTATTTAAAGCCACTGATGACTTCAAATCCACCAGGGAAGCTTAGAAAATAGTCAAAACTGCTCTGAGATGATTTAATAGAGTTTTGTGTTGAAGGAAACTGGGAAAATGTGGGTTGGCGGGGGTGGCATTAGAGACACACGTCCTCGCTGACTTGTCCTTATGTTTCCCGAGGATGAATGTGAGTCCGGTCACAGATTTAATAGGGATTTCTTAATTAATCCAAATGAAGAATGGAAAATCAAAACCTTGGAGGACTTGTCACTGCACCAGAGCAGCAGGTCAACACAGCCCTCTGTTGAGATAGGAAGCTTATGTGCACATGGTAACATCAAAAACTTAATGAGCGTGACTTTGTTTATGCAGTTAAAGCCTGCGCCAGGCTCAAGAAATTGTTTTTGTCTCAGGTTGTGCAGATTTAATGGTTAAAACAGACAGACTTCAAAGGCGTTTACTGGGGACCAGTTGGATCCCAGTCATTACCTCAGCAGCTTTGAGTGTCACAGTAATTATTAGTAATACTGGCTTTAGGACCAGTAATTATGTTGGCGATGCTGCTACGGGCGAAGTTTGACCAAGTAGATTAATTTCTCTTTAGGTTCTAATGAGACTGAGTCTGTGAAACTCCAGTAGTAGACGTCATCTCAAAGTGCATTCGAATGAGCCACTAACTGTTCTACAAGCACATAAATAATTACTGTAAATAAAAGTGAACCACAAAATAAAGTTCCAAGAGACCCGAGGTCCAAGGTGTGAGATTGCCCTACTTTTCGTTACTACGTACCTATTTCTGTCATGAATTCCCATAAGGATACAAAGAATAATAACACTGGTAAAACTGCAAACCGAAAAGTGCTATTTGTCTTTCTTTTACCTTACTGAATGCAAGAAAACGATATTCAGATGTATTAAGAAATGGTGGTGTAGTTGCACGGTGAAGCAGTGAGTTGTTTTTTTTGTGTGTGTGTTAATAGTGAGATTCCTTTCTCGGATTTAAAATCTGGATAAAGACTGTCATCAAAATCGAAGATTCCAGTCAGTGGAAGGAAGGTGTTTTGAATTAATTTTGTAAATATGAATCCCATTTAGAGGAAAACAGATCTTGAGCCACAGTGACACTCAACAAATATTAGTGACCAATACATCTGATTTAGACATCAATTTGCTATCAGAGGATCCAGGTGTCAATCATAATTAGTATCACATATGCTATCACATGTCGTGCTCTAAACATAACTATATAATGTTCAGAAAAACATTTCCTAAAAGTAGAGTGGAATGAGAAGTAACTTCAACATTGGACTCTAGGTTGAAACATGGACATACCAGTGCAGTGCTGTCAGTGTTCATCTCAATCTTCCCCTCGAAGGGTCCCCATGTCGTCCCCACGGGGAGCTGCTGCCGGCTGTGGATCCGTCGCTCGCCATCTTTAAGGAAGGCATCCAGCTCTCCTAAGAATACACCAAAACCCACAGCAGACAGTCAGCCCTAGTGGACTTGATAGCAGAAAACACACACAGCGACTTTCTTTAACTGTCCTTTTTCCCGCAATCTTACATGTGCACTGACATTACCGCCTTAAAAGCCCTTGAGCGAACAGTGAAGGTTAAACCCCAACCATTTCAAAACGGATAAGTATGTCCAGTCGGCTTCCATCTGATGTTGTCCCTCAGACACATGGGGCCCTAACCTGACTTGAAAGGTGGCTGGTGTTGAAATAATCTCTGTGAAACACTGCAGACTTGTTGCTGCTGCTGCTGCCGCTGCTGTTGGAGGCTTTTTTTTGTACTTTTGTTGTTTCAGTGGAGACTGGTAATGTTACCAGTGCAGAACAGAGCTCCATCTAACTAACACTGAGACTGTAGAGTGCTAATAGTCACAGCCGTGAAACACTTCCCTGTCGGTTATTGGTTATTTAGGAAAGTGTACATTTTGTAGCAATAACTATAAGGTTTTATAGTATAGTATCAATTTAAAAATGTGTTTAACCAAATATAAACAAATAAAAAAAAATGGAAGGCAGGGGCACAATATCAGATGAACTGGATTTGATTTTTTTGTTTTTCTCCCAATCAGGTGATACAACATTTGAATTGTAAAAAAAGGTAAAAATATATGTGTTAGCTCTTAGCACCTAAGCTAGAAAGATAAATCTTCAATTTAAGAGATGAATTTTCATTAGAGCATAACATACATATAAAATAACTTCTTTTTTTTTTAACTCTACTACATAATTCTCCCATATCTGCCAACTGTACGATCCTTTATCAGTGTCTTAACCTCTGTGATGTCAGTGAGAGGGCTCAGCTTCACAAAAACCAAAGCCTGTAATCACATTACAATACTACTTTCCCCAATGTGTCCGTGCCAATGACTCCAGCTTATTTCTATTCAGTCCAACTCTGCAGCAGTTGTTAACACTGTGTCTCTTTAACCTATTTGTTCATACATGTGGCTACTGGCTATTCAGGGCATTTGGTTCAAGCTGAATGGGCTGAAGTGATCAGTGAACTTTCTGAAGCGTCTGTGGTATAATGACCTATTCAGCCCTGCTCTACTGTGTAAATATCAGCCGTGTATCTGCAGCATGCTGTTGTGTTGCGTCTCTGTTGTGCCTGTATGGAAATGTGAGCTTATTTGCACCTTTCCCATACATAAACATGACTCAAACATCAGGCTGGTATTATTGGCCTGCTGCAGATGATACCCTGCTGATCATATAAGCAATGCACGGTGGTAATTCCGAAGACATAAATGCTGAATGTCAGATACAAACTCTGTGGAAAATAAGAGTTGTTGGGACAGCTTTTCCTTCTGCACCTCTGCATGCTCCTGCAGCCTGCTGTCTTCCCTGGTGCTGCAGTGGAAGGTGAGCAGGCTCATTACAGAGAAATAATTAAACATTGGTGCACAGCTGGTCATCATCACTGAGAGCAACAGCCACCGCTTGACGCATTCTGTTTGTCCTCAGATAAGACCCACGGCCTTTAACTGCTTGGATGCAACTTCCTGTTTTAGCCCCATTTGTCACACAGCTTGGGTCATCCTCACCCTGCCATTTTGATTGTTTTTCCAGATTTATTTTTTCTTTTTTTGAAATGATGAGCTAAGGGACAGTGCCGGTGCAGGAAGGGAAGGGAGTTTGATTCAATTTATGCAGTTCTTGGTCCACGGTGCTTGGATGCCAGTTTGTGGGCATCTCACACCAAATGTTGCCCGAGGACCTTGGCTCACAGATGGCCCATCACATCTGTTGCTGATACTGGTGAGTGATCCCCATAAAACAGCTGTGGATGAATAATGACTTCCGTTAATGGACTGTCTGTATGTTCTCTACATTCACAACATTCTCAGATGATACAGATGTGCTCCGTTATCAACCGAGCCTCCAAAAACTCCTCTCATCACCTCCTCACCAGTCCCCAAATCCCAACTCTTGTTACCTGCGCTCATTATAAATGAATTTAGACCAACTACATAAGTCATGGTGGTTAAACTGCAAATGACAAACACAGCCGAGTGGAACGCAGATGATGATAAGCACTAAAGGAGATTTAACCAGACCCTCAGCCGTGTCTTCTCTTCTGTATTCTTCTCAACATCCGCTTCTCAAATGCCACACACTTGGCAGAACACAAGGGTGCGTGATGTGGCCCCCTCTCCTCTGACTCCCATCAAACCCATCTTACCCTTTCACACCCCCACCCTCTCATCACCACCACCATCCTCTACCCTCTACGATAAGATCTGTCGCTGGACTCTGGTCCTGAACTCCGCAGATATTTTGGCAGACCAGAGAATGTCCCCTTGTGTGAAAAGATTTTTTAAAGATAACTACTGGGATGTTTTTTTTACTGAATTTGTGAATTTAAAGACTATATTTCTTTACAGTTCAGGTACAGAGACGGCTCATCTCTTCTTCTTTTACTGTCACATAACTCAATGATAATGAGTTTCTCAGTGGCAGGGAGTCTGGCCCTGTGTGACTTAAAGAGATATGTGTATGGACCCTGACAGAAAAAAAAATGTTAAATTGGAATTTTACTATGTTAAGGTTCTGATTCTACATCGACAGACGTTGTCTTATAATGACTTGAAAATGCAATGATACTTTCACCTTTAACTGCCAATGTCTCTATTAATTAGGAGACACACAGGTCTGAGTTTTATTCATTTACTACCGCCATGTTAAAGGTCAGGGCCAGGGGGCGATAGTGGTGGTTTTGTCTCTTTTAACTGAATTCAAAGAAAGTGTAAGAATTGTCATAATTATTTTTTGTCTCATACTTGAAGCTTCTGACATAATTATTTTTTGTCTCATACTTGAACTTATTTTCAACAGCAACATTTGCTATTTTACTATTTACCATCTTTCTGTACTTGCTAATGTTTAGCTTCTGGCCAAATGGTTTGGCAGCTTTTTCATATCTTTTGTCATATTTATATTTATTTAAAGTAATTTTGAACTTTGAACCTTGTGCGGTCCATCAAAGTTATTTTTGGAAATCAAACACGCATGCAGGAAAATCAAAGTTTAATTAGCGGCCTACAGCAGGACAATAAATCTACAAATTATCAGCTAAAGTTTTACTTTATGACTTCCCACCAAAAGTAAATTATTTTTATAGAGAACAGATGATGACACAGGTTGACAGAATAAAAACAAGTGTAAAAATATGCCTGGAGTTCAGAGGAGCAGAGAAGTCTTTTTGAAATCACACTGCGCCTTTGAATCAAAGCAAATAAATGAGTGCTGTTCAAAGTTCAACAACCTGTGTGCGACAGTTCACCCGTGTGCCACTGAATCCAGTCATCTCCACTGATAGGCCTGCGTTATAGAGTCGGCAAATGGGCTATAAATTAGTGGACTGTGAGCCAGGCATATGGGGTGAAATAGAAAGCGCTGTATCAGTTCAACAAAAGGTGCCACATCTTTAAAGCAGATATGTGATATGAAATTTTCCAGCTGAAGGAGAAATGTCACAGTGCTTTGATAAGACAGCGATGAACAGCCCACCTCCAACCAGCCACGATTATCAGGTTCCAGTCAGCAAAATGCATCATTTATAACCCACGGCCCACATTATAATCTCAGGGAAAAGGGGTTGGTTTGAAACCATGGAGGACCTCCATCACCTCCTCACCCACGTCTGACATCTACCAGTCTGCACTATACTGCTGCCATTTTACCTCCATGGTCCATGACATGGGGCAGACAGTTTACAGAGTAGGCCTCTCCACCCAAACACAAGGGGCAGTATCATCCCTTTAGGCCAGGCTTGTTTTCAGGCAGTGGTCAGGGAGTAGGGACAGAGTTAAATATGTTGAGGGGATTAGGGGCATTTTAGCTTTGACACTGACACAGGCTGAGCAGGGGGTCGGAGGGAGGGGCTAAGGGTTCTGTGGGGTTCCTCTGGAGGGCACTTTCTAAAGAAATGCCCCACAAAGAAATGTGATGTAGTGTTTTTAAATGCACAGGCTTTAATTTCTATGACAAAATTCTATCATTTTAGGTTTGAATATTTCACCGCAACATTTGAAATGAATTAGAAACTCAACATCTGTCTTTATTTTTCTTTCTCTCTCAGACTTTAGTATTTTTTTAGTTCCACAAGTGCAACTTATCTACGTCCTTGTTTCAATATGCGTCAGTAAGTTTTCACTCTCCCTGCCCTCTCCACAGATCACGTAATTATTGCCTTTGAAATTTAATTTTTCTTTCTCCACTTGTTTCTTCCTGGTTGTTATTATTGACTTTTCTTTTCTTTTTTTTTTAAACCTGCCGACCATCTCAGCTGTGCTGTACTGACATGTATGGCACTGTATCCTGTTGGGTTCTAATCTTTGCAGCAATGTTCAAAGTTACTGTTGATGTTTTGACTTCACATCAATAGCTGCTGTTGGTAGATTTTGTTAGTGCTGCGTGTGCAGTACACTATCAACACAAAGACTGCTGTTTGCTGTCACTGCATGGAATGAAATAGAGCAGCTGTCAAACAATTCCATCAAAAGCACGACAAAGTTCACAGCTCTCCTGCTGACAACGATCTCCGAGTTCGTCTGCAGGGAAGCACTGCAGCTTCTATTGATGGCATGTAAAGTGAGACAGCAAAACCTAAAAAATGACTGTCCTCACGCAGAGATATCGCACATATCACAGACTACATCTAGAGGACACACACCACCACTGCTGGAATCAGATTGCTTTAGCTGTTTAGTTTTTTTTTTCCTTTAAAATCAAGGGACGTTACCGCACCTGAGCGCGTCAGGGTGAATGAGTAATTGATGGTTCAGTGGAGATGTACGTATTTGAAATGGGGGAAAAAAACATCTGCACAAGAAACACAACTTTCATGTGTTTCCCCTGGTTTTATCAGCAGTAAGACACAGCTGAGCCTAGTATATAAACTCCATGTGCTGAAGACAAAGTCTGTATTTTACTTCATACACA